AACAAACAAACAAACAAACAAACAAACAAACAAACAAACAAACAAACAAACAAACAAACAAACAAACAAACAAACAAACAAACAAACAGTGGGGTCATGGGGACAGCAGCTCAACTAGGGAGGCCCAGACCTGTCTTCCCAGCCACATTTTCATTTTCCTCTGGGAGCATTCCCAGGTATTCTAACTGAGGGATATATAGTCTCTCCAGAGTGTCCTGGGTCTTCCCTGGGATCTTCTCTCAGATGCACATCCCCAGAAAACATCTTTAAGGAAGCATCAAGGATCATCCTTACTAAATGCCCAAATCACATCAGTTGGGGTTTCTCACATATCTAATCTGAGTCTCTCCTAGATAACTGAACTTCTCACCATATCTCTATGGGAGAGTCCAGTGACCCTGCAGAGAAAACTAATTTGGATCGTTCATATCTGCGCTCTTGTTCTTGGTCACTGTTCAAACGTTTGTGGCCATAAGCGAGGGTAGGTATTAGATCAACTGTTAAAAGATAGCTTCACATGGTACAGAGTCAACAACACTGTTGGAAGCTGCACTGATCCGTCACTTTCTCTCAATTGTGAACAAGACCAAGTACTGGGAAATTCTGTCCACGAAAGTTAGAAACAGAATCTGCAAGAACGGGCAGCCCTGATAGAGTCCAACTCCCATCCTGAAAGGGTCAGACTTATTGTTGTATAGGGACTGAATGGCCCGTAACAGCAGACTCACAGAGGACCTCGAGGAACACTGTTAAACACCTTCTTCAAGTTTACAAAACTCATGTACACTGGATGGGCACCCATGATCCCTCGAGGACCCTAGTGAGAGTGAAGAGTTGGTCCAGTGTTCCACGGCCAGGATGGAATCCACGGTTCGACTATTGATCAGACTCTCTACTCCAGTACCCCTGAAAAGACTTTACCAGGGAGGCTAAACAGAGTGATGGAACACACCCTTTCATAATAGTGAATATATTATTAATTTATACTGAAAAGTAAATAAAAAATGCTATGTTTGCAAAGTTTTTAAAAAGATAGGTTTGATTCATATGAAAGTCTTTTTCTGTCCAATCAATGGTCTTTGCAAAGTAGGTCCTAAGAACCGAGCTAGAAGTGGGTGGGATACCCCCTTGGGAGGCCTCTATAAAGCTGGGTTCAAGCCCGTGGAAAAAGACTTAATAAAGAGCATATATTTGATATTTTCCCTGAAATGCACTTTAATTCAGAAATGCTTCACTAAGTCCGTGCTCTGGGTCATCTAAGAAGCTTTGGCGAACAGTTGTTCAGTATTATCTATCACTCAATAACTTTAACTTCCATTGCTTCTTAGAGAAAGATGAAACTATTTCAACACAGAAAGGCCTCCATAATTAAACACAATCAAAACAAGGCACAGCTTATTTTTTTCATCATTGCTTGTTTAATTGTTGTGTTTGTTTCTGTTTCAAAGCTCAGGCACCGGACTGGAAGGGTTTAAATCTTACTCCATCTTCAAAGAGATTGAAAAACGTTTGCAGGAGGTAAAATTGCTCGCTCTGTTTCTCACCCTCACACAGTTTTATTATATATTTATATAATACATATTTAAATGTAGTTAGCTTTATAATTTTATTATCTTGTTGCTTACTTTTCAGTATAGTTCAGGGTTTTTTTATAGCCACTGAAATCCCCAAATTTGACCATCTTTATGTGAAATTTATTGTAAAGCAGCCTAAAAAACTGATGCTGGAGATTTATTATGACATTTACTTCTGTGGTATATAGGTCCTTCTCAAAAAATTAGCATATTGTGATAAAGTTCATTATTTTCTGTAATGTACTGATAAACATTAAACTTTCTTATAATTTAGATTCATTGCACACCAACTGAAGTAGTTCAAGACTTTTGTTTTAATATTGATGATTTTGGCAAAAAAGTAAAGAAAAAYCAAAAATCCCTATCTCAAAAAATTTGCATATCATGAAAAGGTTCTCTAAAAGACTTATGAACCTAATCATCTGAATCAACAAATTAMCTCTAAACACCTGCAAAAGATTCCTGAGGCTTTTAAAAACTCCCAGYCTGGTTCATTACTCAAAACCGCAATCATGGGTAAGACTGCTGACCTGACTGCTGTCCAGAAGGCCATCACTGACAGCCTCAAGCAAGAGGG